AAAAAAAAAAAAAAAAAAAAAAAAACATTACGTTAAATCAATTATGTGACAAGATTCTGAAGTAATTTAATTTATCGCAGGAATGCACGTGGTCGTTGACCGGAGGTTGCCGATGCGAGCAAGGCTATCTCAGAAATAATAATGGCGTTTGCGTGCCATCCTCGCAATGTTAAAAGCAATGTCCACGAACGTATCCTTAAAAACTTCGATAACGGTAAATCATATTGTAAAACGATTTAAAAAAAAAAGAAAAAAAAAAAAAAATCTTCCAAAAATAATCTCCTATCCCATTTGTTGAATAGCAATATATTATAAAAAAAAAAAAAATGTCTTTTCTCGTATTTATTCACCTAGATAGAAATCGCGACAAAAAGAAAAAAAAGAAAAAAGAAAAGAAAAGAAAAAATCTCACTCATCGATATAATATTATTTTCGTATAAAAATATAATTAAAAAAAAATTTTGTTTCTCACCTACAAATATACGATCACGCCACGAAGGTTAGGAAGAAAAATCACTTATCGTGCAAGCTCATACTTATGGATCTCGATTGGAATTTCGTCACACTCCGTTTCTCTCCCCACGATGAACAACACCACCCAACCGAGACGTTTCGTCGATTCGATTTGACCGTACGGGACGAGTCGCCGCGGCTAAATATGCTCCAACGAGTCAAAAGCTTACGTAAAACCTATAAACTTTTCCTCGTATCGCCTGCCCACCAATCTACTACCGCTTGACTATTCGCTTGATTAATAACGACACGTGAGCCGAAGCAGGGACGAGCACGGACAAAGCGTGGGCCCACCTTCCACGTCCAATATCGCTAGCGCGCGATCAAGAATAATTTAACAACTGTTCCCCTCGCATGAGCGCGGGTCCCCTCCCCCGCCTCCAGCGTGTAACAGGTGCCTATGCTGCTATATACACACCACTATCGCGATAATTCGCGTGACTTCGTTTATAATTCCCAACCGATGACGTGTTCCCGAGCGACTCTCGTTTCCGCGAAACGAGGCCCGTGTAATTCCGAGGAAAAATATTCGCGATTTCGCTTATCGGCAAGGTCGTCGGGGGAAAAAATAGCGTCGAGTTTCGTTGGAGGGAGGGGTGTGGTCGACGATCAAAGAAACAATTTGTTGGGCGAAAAGGAACAGAGATTTCCAAGGGTCAACGCGAGGGAGAGGAGAGGGTGTGCGTGCGTGTCTACCAGGAAGAAATCCCCGTTTTCTTCGAGATAAAAGCACGGGGAGGGAATATAGATGGAAAGCTTGAAAGCTCCTTCCTATCGTATTTATGAGCTAGCTCTGAAACATATATGTATACCTTTCGAATATAATTCAAAGCTTAGAAGTTTTGTATAGTAAAATCGAGTCGAGATAAATAAAGAAGTTGAAATTCATTTTAACCTCGCTCGATGACTTTTTCGATAAAGAAATAAAGATCTAAGAGGATTCTATTCGATACTGCGCTCTTATTAATTGGAGATAATCTAGCGTTAAATCACTCGAGTTGATCGAGACTCGCAAAGGGTTAAAAATTGTGATCCACGTGACCTATTCGCGAAAATACGTGTGATTCGCACGAGCGTGGAAATTGGTTGAAAGCTCACGTCGAGAGCGCTCCTCGAACGAGAGAAGAAATCCGTCCCCTTTGAACACCCCTCGATTCTTCCCGCGGGAAGAGGGAGAAAAATACTTTTCTTCGATTCCTTCCTCCCTTCTCCTCTCCTCCTTTCGCTTCATTCGTTCCCCGGTGGGAGAATCGACACCCGAAAATCGCGAGGCATTGGCACGCAATCAAGCGACGACACGGCTCGAGCCGAAGAGAAGGGTGGAGAGAAAACTCCACCCCTTCCCCTCCAATCGAATTAATCGCGGCGTGTTAGCAGCTGTCGATCGAGGCGCGTCGTCGTTGCGACGACTTCCGAGAAATCTGGAAATGCGAAACACGACGACCACGAACAGGATTTTTCCTTTTGTTCGTTTCGACGAAATAGAGTACTGGTGGCCTTTCTTCTGCTTCCGGTGGCCTCGATCAATAGGGGAAAGATTGCACGAAATAACGATTAACGAGGGCGCCTCCACAGGGCGGTGGAGGAAAAAAGGGTGCATCTGTATGCGCGCTCGTCGACAGGGTTTTCGGTGGTTGAATAGAATCGATTGAAAATCAAATTCTTCCATTGTCGGGTAGGACAACCGGTTGCAGTTGCACCGGAACGTATTACAATAGCTTGGAATAGTTCGAAGAATGAATGTACGTTGGAATCGTTTGAATTTTTGCGGCCAGATCATAAAGTTCTCATTCTACTACGAATGAAGTTGTACTACTGGGAAGATTGTTCTCAACTTCTCGAGAGTGAAACATGTTTTCGAAAAAAACATTCGTTTATCTTACATCAACTCTTTCCATCTTGATGCGGAAGATTGATGTCTCGATGGATATTTTTTTGTGAGACAATTTTTATTATAATAAATGTGGAATAACGTACAAATTTAAATAATACGAAATTAGCCAAGTATGCCAACTTCTACGCCTCTCGAAAAGCGTCTCGTTGTTAGTCACCGTCGATTACGTAACCTCATCGCGTACGTGCAACTGAACATGTAGATATCTCCACAAAGGAAAAAAATAAGCAAGATTAACGATATGTTTTTTTTTTTGTTTTATTTTTTCTTTTTTTTTTCTTTTTTTTTTCGGAGAAAAACATTTTCAAAGTCAACGGAAGACAACGACTCATCGGAATGTGGCGTTGTTCGATCGATCAATTTTCCCGCGAATTTTTCTTTGAGAAAAATCATTGAATGGTTTGTTTTTTTTCGTGTCGATCGACTATCGCACGATGTTCACGCGAAAAAATCCGTTATACAGAGCTCGTTCGAATCAATTAAACAAAAAGAGATTCTAGAGATTAAAATTCTATTGCACAAAGATATCATCGAGGTTTATCTTTCGAATTATTCTTGCTAGTCCAAAGTCCGCTCTTCTCACTTCATTTTACGCAAAAATTAATATAGCGTGTTAGTAGATTTTGCCAGATGGAAAAGACGGAAAAAAATATCCCCTCCTCTCTACCATTAAAAATGACTCCACAAGAGCAGAATACATTATTATTCCCACCAACGACTAACAAACGTTCGTATAATTGGCGTAACGTTGCTCGGATTACTAGTTTAAATAATATATAACTCGGCTAGAATTATTCAGTTACAAGTACGTACATACGAGGTAAATATTTAAAATGGAGATCAGATGATCATAGAGTTTGGGTACTTCGATTCAGAGAATTCAATCGATGAAATACAAATGATCCAAATATATACGATCCAAATATATACGATCCATGTATGGATGATTCATCTTGAATGACTCTGGCTGAGATAGGGCCACGAGGAGTTCAGATATAACCGAAATTATCCAAGTTCGAATAACAAAGATAACTATAATTCTAGGGAGGGAGGGATTCGAGTATGACAAGATTTCTATAGTTCCAACAAATAAAATTCTTCTGCACGAAATAACTCTCTATCGAAATTTCCGCCCGCCAACTTTCGCATTATCTCGATCTCTAAAAATCTTATTGCTTAAATTTTTATTTGCGCGAACACCCGATAGACACGCACCACTTCGCGCGTATTGCGTTCTCCCCTCTCTCTCTCTCTTTCTCTCTCTCTCCTTCTCGTTCCCTTGGCTGGCAGCAAACAACTTACATAATACCGTATATTTATCCACCGGCACGAGTTTACTGCACTACCGACACCGTTCTCAACTCTGTCTTTCTCGTCTCGTAGTTCCGCCACACGCAGCGAGGGGAAAAGCGCGAGCGTGGCCGAGCATACGTGTTCATTACGTAGCCCTGGAGCAGTCGGTCGACCGGGGAAAACACGTGACGCGTCGACGTCTCATTAAGAAACGACGCCGGCGTTCGTTCGTTCGTTCGTTCGTTCGTTCGTTCTTTTCGACCCGGCCACGCAGAGCCCCGTCACGAAGGGAGAGATTATTTATCGACGCGTGTTCGTCCACGAGAAACACGTCTAATTATCTTGGATAACGTGATTTGTGGTACTCGAGTATCTTTGTTCACGAGAGAACGAGATATTTCGCGTCACGATATTGCTTCGAATCGAATGAAAAAATTCGTTTTACGGCTCGAACGCAGATGAGTATCGCGTATCACGATGATTTACAAACTTTTCTTCCCAACGATTTCCGCTTCGATTATAATCGTATTGTCCCTGTCTCTCTCTCTCTCTCGTGCCAGAGATGTATTTATTTATCTCGAGATTCAATTTCATTGTACGTAAAATATCGTTTTACGATTATCGATATCTTAACAATATTACATCCACGACGCATTCGTCGATAATCTTTCTCGAATCGTTTCGCATGTAAATCGACGTTCCATCTAACGGGCAACCTGCATTTTTAAAAAAACAACCTCCTTGATCGAGACGTACACACACGTTAAACGTCTCCTCGTCCACGATATTCGCAGAGCCTCCGTCGCTCTATTATTCAAACCACGCGTACGACTCTCTACGGCTCGTTTGGAACGTAGTGAAATTCCAACCGGCGAGTATATCCAGTGGATCTCAAAAAGCTCTATTCCATCTAGCTCCATCTTTATCGAGTGGATCGAGCGCATACGCATTCCTATCGCATATCGCTGACAACAAGATAAATCCCCCCCCTCGAGTCTAGGGGGAGGGGAGGAGGCGTGTTATCGCCTCCTCACGAAGTTGCAAGCGCTCGTGCGAAGACACGCGCGCAAGATAAGAGCGCCAAGCGGGCGCTGAGAATAGACGAGAGACGGTAAACAAGCGTCGATGCCAGACGATAGCGCGCGCAACCTAGCCCAAGAAAAACCCGATTGTCGGGCTATAACGTTTCCGATACGACGCAGAAGCGCGAGTGTTTACACGTCGCGGCGCGGACGTTTCCATTCGTGGCGTGGTAGAGAGGAGGGAATCGTAGATACACGGGCCGCGACGAGGTCGTTCGAGCATGGAGGGAGGGGGAAAAACTACGTTTGTTTTCGCTACCGAACGCTGCTACTGTTGTGGGTTCTAATTGGAGGTTTGGAAAAGATAAGAGAAGCTTAAAACTACACGTTTGAAACGCGTGCAGATTCACAGAACGTTTGAACGGGTTCAATGAAATATTATGAAACGATTGTGTGATTTTTGATGAATTTAATAATATTTGATAAGAAGAGATCGAGTTATATATCTGGTTTAGTCGAGTATAGAGGAATTCGTGTGGAGGAAAATTTATGGAATTTGCGTGTCGATTAAAAGACGTGAAATATTCGAGGGAGATTATTTTATGCATTGTGATTTTTATGAATTAGAAATTAGGCGGAGGAAGTTGTAAGGTTAGTTTTAGTTGCGATAGTCTATCGACTGCACGGCAGTTTTATTAGCGGAGAATCGAAACGTTACGTAAGAATCTACGAAACGCATTTGATATGCAAAAATATCCAAGAA